GTGTGTGTGTGTGTGTGTGTGTGTGTGTGTGTGTGTGTGTGTGTGTGTGTGTGTGTGTGCGTGCACGCGCATGCGTGTGTTTGAAATTTGAAGCTTCGAGTGAAATGTCTTACGCAAACCTCTTTTACCATAGAGACATCCCACAACACAATATTATCACAATACTTCACCCACGATGTGACATTACAGCGACATTTTGTGATATGCTGAGTATTGTGCTAACATATATTGTGATTTATTGCTTTTTTCCCCAACAGCAAATTATGTCCTCGAGATCAAACTTTCTCAGTATGTGTTTGATCTAATAAAAGAAAATTATCTCACTTCAGTTTTATTTTTTTGCTACAAAATGAGATTGTCAAGCACATTTCCAGTTCTATAGGAATATCACTGAAAACAATCAGCTGACAGCCGGTGCTTGTATATATGTCGGGATGTATGTATGCACGTGTGTATGTGTGGAAGAGCATGTTCTCTTTTAGGATTTTCTGATTTGGATGTTTGTCAGCGAACATTTTCTCGGGTGGTGGTGGATGAGATGAGCCCTTTTGTTTGTAACATTCCCGGATATTATTATTTTAATGTATTTAGTAAAGTATCCATATATTGCGTCTGTATCAATAGATACATGGTGATATTTTATCGATATCCTTGTATCGATAAAATATCACCATGCAAAATACAATATTTTCCCCCAACGCTATTACAGCGGAGCCATTTTGACATGATATATTAGAAATACACAGCTGTTACTAATCACACTAATTGAGGCTCTGTACTAAACAAAACAGAACCTCCTGCAATGAGGAACACCTGTGTTTATTTATATTTCATGCAAAATGGCTGAAAATACAATTCTCAATCTACAGTCGCAAAAACCTTTAACTTTCCAGGCAAAACCATCACAGATGCATCAGAGGACTTCCATTGGTACTCAAAACCGAACAAGTCTCAAATAATTCGACCCATTAGTATAAAAATGAGCATTCGTCACACAGTACGTGAAAACGTTTCATTTCTACAAAAACTCCAAAATATGGAGTAGAAACAAGAGCGAAGAACACAACTCCTGTGCTGTAGTTGTTATCTGTAAACTCTTCTCGTGAATTATCATTCCATGTACAAGAACGTGGTGTACAATACTGCAGCTGCTCAAATGGCATCTATAAATACTCTTCTAGATTGTTCTCTTCTCTCCTGTGTTTCTCAGATTGCTTCCATCTATTGTTGGTGTCAAACCTGAACAAGTGTGAACAACTCTGAGCTGCTGTGTTCATGAAATTGCGCTAATCTACGCTTAGTTGCGGTAAACGTCTGCCGACTGCAGAAGTACAAAAACTGGCTTTTTGTAACTCATGACATTGAGACTATTTGCTCAGAGTATAGCTGAGCAATTCAAAAAATAACTGCAATAAAGGTCACATAAAGGTCACATAAAGATCAGGGAGCCATCGTGGTGCAAGTCGAAAGCTGAACAAGTCTTGATATAACCACAACCACAGGAAACTGTGTTGGAATTTAGAAGCCGTTTTTCTGCTCTCTAATATGCTCATTAGCCCCGAAACCTCACACACCTGCTAACTGCATTCTTTGTGGGCAACCTGTGACTGCTGCTCCACTTCCAGGTCCTCTCATTCCCCCTGCCTTCTCCTCAGAGGCCACCCCTGCACTGCACCGTATATACTCCATTAGCCAATTAATGGCCCGGCATGTTAACACTGAGGAAAGTGCTGCCCACACTAAACACATTATTACTATCACATTATTACAGCCCCAATTACCAGGCCATCTCCTCTCGTCTCCTCTTTCCACATACTACATTTTTATAGTTGGCACGCCAAGGACACGATTCAAGCTCTACTTCTCCGGCTGGATTTTTATTCCAAGCATACTGTTGAAACTAAAGAAGAAGCGACAATTTGCCCATCCCAGGAGTGCCTCTGTATTTTTGTACCTCTTAAATTAAATGCGATGCCTGCTTACTTCATAACGGTGGAGTGGAAAGGCATTTCCTGCTGGTGAACAGACAGTCTAGACAGTCTAATGCGGGGAGGCTTTCAGGGCAGTTAAAGTTCGGCCCCTAATCCACTGACTGACCGTGTCTTCAGCAAAATTATGTGTCAGCCAGATGACGCCGCTCTCCCTTTAACATTTCAGCTTTCTCTCTGTTATTCTCCTTGTCAAACCGCATGCTCGCGCCAACTAAAGCTGGATTTGTAATGACGCCGTTACTATTAGCTGAACAGCGAGAAAAGAGGGCCGCGTGAAGCAATTACTTGAACTCTTCGTGTCGCTGGAGGAGAGTCCTGGTGTGAACTGGTGGCAACATGTCAGCTCGAGTCCTTTCTCTCCCGAGCTGAGTGAATCTCATTGTTAATCCTGCACTTGCTGTTGTTTGGACCAACAAAGCGAGCAGACTCCTTCTCCATATGTTTGTCAATCTTTAATCTACCCCAAAGGACACAAGGAGGAGATGGGAAGAGGCGGCGGCGGCGGTGCTGGTGGTGGGGGGCGTCTTTACTCTCCTACATTCATTTTGAAGTCAGCACGCTTGGAAGTTTCGAAACCATGCCTCTTCAATATGCATTGTTACCACGGCGGATGAAACAGAATGTATTTGCCATCTTACTTTCGCATCCAGCCGCCTTGAATAGATTTTTTTTTCAATACTCCCTCATCAAAAACGTGTTCTATTATTCTGAAGTGCAGACGGAGTGCAGCATACATCTGAATCTAATCAAAGCGCGGTAAGTGACTCTGCTCGCAGCTGCCTGCGCAGAAGCGCAAAGCTCTGATAGCGCAGCTTTTCTGTTGACACTTGGCCCGCGACATAGTAGCGCAATCACAGAGATAATTGTTCGAGTTCTGCGGTCCTGATTCGCAGCGCTAATAATCGGATTAACTTGCTGTAGGTATCAATATAATTACAAAAGTAATCACCCATCCCAATCAACCCGGTTGGAGCTTCCTTTGAACTCGCTATGCAAATGAGACTCGAATAGGATACTGAAATAATTAGGTGGTTCGACAAAATGGAACAATATCACTGGTACTGTGATCACTGGGAAGGAAAAGAAGAACTTTAAAGTCTAGGATCTTCATTCAGTGGGACAAAGTATCTTTAAGCTGAGCAAAATTATAAAAAGACTTTTCATTTGTTAAATAAAAGACTTGGATTTGCCGTTTGCTGTCAGAAGTGAATTGTGCTGACTACTTCAGAAGCGCGGGTCAGGTTTTTGTTTGGTGAGACTCAGCAGGAAGTGTAACAACAAACAACAGGAAGCAGGTCATTGTCCAGGAAAGAAAAAAAAGAGAAGAGGAAAGAAAAAAGAGAGATAGTTTCTGCTGTGTTGTGGGGAGCGGGAACAAGGAGAGTGGCACTGGAGTGCTGGCTGCTGATTAGAAGCCATGCGGAGCCAAGCAGATAAGAGAGAATGGACATCATAATCAGCAGCTGCAGAGAAAGACAGACGACAATGGAGTTGAGTCCAAGAGAAAAATGAAGGAAGACCATTGTCAGGTTGGCTTTGTGCACTTCCCACACTTTGGCCAAGGAAACATAGTTTCGGGGCGAACACGTGCAGCGATAACACAGAGACTGATAGAAGCTCCATCAGCACCACCACAACCATGCTTCTTTCTCTGTCACGCCTCGCTCCCCCACAGCTGTCTCCATGAATGAGAACCACAGACGCCCGGGATCCAATCAGAGTGCTGGGTATTTTCACGGTCCTCTCCATAGGAGCCAATCAGATAGAGCTGTCTTAGGCGCTGTCCAGTGGCTCAAAAAAACAAAGCAAAAAAGAATAATGGCCGCCTCTGCTGAGCTGAACATGGATTTATATCAGCCGGACCACAGGTTATAATGATGGGACATGAAGCAGCCAATCACACGAGCTGTATCCAATCTGCCAGATTTTTTTTTTGCAAAACAAATCCTGCTCTTCATCAAGTGGGTCCGGCGCACTGTGGATGTAATGGAGTCTAAATTTTATGTACTCTCTTCTCCATCATTTTCAGTCTATAAGTGGCTGACAAGATATCAATGGAGGAGAACGGCTTTATGCAAAATAAATGGATTGTATCAGCGAGGAAGCACGGGCCAAGAATACACTGCATGAATCACATCAAGGTCAGAGTTTTAAATATACGACCATGGCTACCTTATTGCAGGGTAAAAAGGGGACAGGCTTTATGAATTAATCTGTTTCACCTCTCCAATGACTCCTATTTTGAATCACTAAAAGCCCCTGTCACAACTGTCTGCTCCAATTAATGACAGCGAATGTCAGCTGAGCTGGGAGTCTGGCCGCGGCCCATCCCGGGTCGCGGTGACGTGCTGTGCCGGTTGACGATTGCCAGCTTGGGAAGCCCGGTGAGTTCTGATCCATAATTTCATAAAAGCCCTCTGGAACGCCGCGTCTCGGTGTCAGCAGAGCAATCAATCACAGCACGAGCTGTACACGTTAGAGCTACGACAATCAAATGTAGCACCTCAGGAGTGTAATACAGTAGCGCTACCAGAAAATACAAGAAGTAATGGATTTCTGAGCCGTCACCCTGCTGAACCCCGGTGCTTTGAATATCGACTTGGCTCTGTGGCAGGTTGGTTTATTATTGCCCACCACAATTTCCCTCAGGATCCCCTTTCCATTAACTGAGGGACAATCCTGGTCTGGCTGAGTGATGGGATTTGGGAACAGGTACAAAAGGAAAGAATTAGGCTGCTCTCCTGCAGAGGAAGCAGGGCTGGGAGCGCACACATGCAGAACGGACACAAACAAGATGGGGAATGAGGATGTACGGCGAGACAAAGCGGCGGAGAAAGAACGTCAGCTGTGAAAGACGAGATTTAAATAACGTGGACGCGTTTGGATGGAGGTGCGGGAGGGCATGTGCTCCACATATCTCGTGCCCACTGTGTCTGTGTCGATTCTGCTGCTTAGCATGACAGCTCTCTGGGAGCTGCTCAAAGAAGAAAGATCTGGATGGACCACCAGAGCCACCAGTCTCCAGGGCACGCTGATGGAAATGTGTTGGGCCACCAGCCAGAGGGGGGTCATACCCTCAATGGAGAGAGGACCTTCGTTGCAACTTATAGGTGAATACCAGCAAGAAATGCATTACAGCTTTTTGAGCAAGGCCTCCAGATGTTCCTTTCAGCTGAGAAGAGGGCCCTTTGTGACATTTGTATGTGTTTGTGTGTGTGTGTGTGTGTGTG